TGTCTGCTCAATGCGACGTTTTTTCAACCTGGTATGGTAGACGTTCTTATGAGAGATCTCGAGGAGTACTCATTACAATGCTCTTCGAGAAATCGTTGTCAAGAAAAACGATTAGCGTCAGCACAAAGCCCAAGGAAGACGAGCTGGCCAACGGGCAAATCAACGGGCAAAGCAATGGAAGCAATGGAACCGCTGGAACCAATAATATTGCCCTTCACAGTTCAGCGAAAGATACTAGACTTCCATGGTGGAAGAAGGGCTTGAAAATCATTGCAAACCCCTTTACATCATGTTTCGGTTTGCGATCCAAGGAACCCAAGAAACCAAAAGAACCAGCCACGATGGGAAAGATCCTGAATTTGATGAGGTTAGATTGCTCTTCTAATATCTTAAATGCTCACTAACAATTCCTATAGGGGAGATGCTTATGAAGTTGCGCAACGGTGAGACATTACTCTCAAGATCACTATCTTGCCATGCTAACATAAAGTACAGATTTTGGGACTTTGCCGATTTCATTACTCAACCACTTGGGTTGGTTCTTTCCATTATTGCTGTCTGGAAGCTTCTCGGATGGCCCTGTTTTATCGGGGTGATTGCCGTGTTCATAGGTCAAGCTCTTAATGTTTTGGTTTTGAAAGCTCTTTTGTATTATGAAAGACAACGAAGAACTGCTTCTGATACCAAACTTCATAAAATAACACAACTAGTTGAATCAATAAGGTATGTGACTTGATTGGTTTCGGCCAGCATGGCTACTTTTCACCTAAAGTCTGGTTGTGCGAACTAAATTTTTGATAGGCACTTGCGTTGGTATGGATGGCAAGATATTTGGCTAAGCCGCATTATGGAAGCAAGACAAGACGAACTATGGTTACGTGTCATAACAAGGGCTTGGGGTATTCTCTTGTCGTTTGTTTATATGTTTTCAAGTGGAATGTTCCCTGTGGTGGCTTTCTGGGCCTATTGCGTCTGGGCAGGTCAGCCATTACGTGTTGATGTAGCTTTTCCTGCTCTCCAACTTTTTCAAATGCTTCAAATGGGATTGCAGACTGTTCCGGATCTTGTAACCACTCTGCTCAACGCTCGAATTGCAATGGGACGTATCGAAGACTTCATGCAAGAACCTGATAAACCAGAGGTAGAGGCAAATCAACAGACGAATGATGGACTTGAAATGAATGATGCATCATTCGCTTGGCCTGGAACTACGATCCCTGTATTAAGGAACATGACTCTTTCATTCCCAGGTGGGTTATCGCTCATATATGGGGAAGTGGCTTCCGGAAAGACGGCTTTATTACAGGCTCTGCTTGGTGAGCTTGACCATCTTAGTGGTGTATACAGCCCTGTCAATGAGGTGGTAGGTTATTGTGCACAAACACCATGGCTACAGAGCATGAGTATAAGAGATAACATTTTGTTCTCTGCTCCATATCAAGAAGTCCGATACAAACAAGTATTAGATGCTTGCGCTTTGGTGCCAGATATGGTCAATTTTAAGAATGGAGATTTGTCCTTGATTGGCGAAAACGGAATTGGACTATCTGGTGGACAAAGGGCTCGTGTCGCATTGGCACGGGCGGTCTATTCCAATGCAAAAATCTTGTTCCTTGATGACCCCCTTTCTGCACTTGACCACCATACAGCAGAGTCAGTCGTAAGGAAATGCCTGACAGGTTCGTTGGCAGAGGGAAGAACTATTATACTGGTGACTCATCGCACAGAGTTATGTCAGGGAATTGCACAACAGATTATTAGAATGACAGATGGAACGGCAGAGATATTCGATCCTGACTCCATTCCGTCTGAATTACTGCATACAGTAAATTCGTCGAGCTCTATAGTGGAAGATCAAAAGGAAGACGAAGATCAAATCGATTCAGTGATACCCGAAAAATTCATGGAAGATGAACATCGAGAGCAAGGTGGTATTAGAGCGTCGGTCTATTGGGAATACATCAAAGCAGGAAAGCTGAGGTATTGGGCTCTAATCCTGGTGGTAATGACTGCTTTTCGACTAATTGATATCGCCGAAACGTGGTTTCTCAAATCTTGGGGAGAAGCATACGAAGGACCACGGAAACCATCAAGAGATCCCTTAAGTCGACTTCCTTCTCCAGAAACCAACATTCAACCATGGTTACTTGGATTCTTTCTTCTTGCTTTGGCTCAGTCTGTTACTTGGGTATTTTTTCAGGCTTCTGCACAACTGATGGTCTATACAGCTGGCAAAAGCATTTTCGAAAGGGTCATGACCAGAGTAGTCCATGCGACATTCCGTTTCTACGATGTGACACCAGTAGGGCGTTTGATGAATCGGATGACATCAGATATCAGTGTTATTGATGGGAATCTAAGCTCTCACTTTACATCATTTGCATTCTTGATGATCATGTGGTTTACATCTATTCTGGTTATTGGATCTCTTACACCAACCTTCTTAGCGTTTGCAATAATACTCGTCATCACGATTGTATTGATATACATGCGATTCTTACCTACATCTCAAAGTTTGCGCCGTCTGGAAATGGTCTCTCTGACCCCGTTAATATCAAATTTTGGTCTCCTGACTGAGGGGCTCGGTACTATACGCGCATTTTGCGCGGAACGTCGTTTCCAGGATCGGGTTATTGAAGTGACAGACATTTTCCAAAAGATGGATCACTTCTATTGGTCATTACAAGCATGGCTCGCGTTTCGATTCAATATACTTTCTGCTGTATCAACATTTCTTATGACAGTCATAGCCGTATACCAAGATTTATCACCTGGTCTTACAGCCTTTGTTCTTTCAGCCGCAGGTCGATTCGTATCATCAACGAAAGGGTTATGCCAATCTTACGGTCAACTACAGATGGAGTTCGTTTCAGTAGAACGTGTAGTAGAACTTCTACATCTCGACCAAGAATCTCCTGGCGACATAGATCCACCAGCCTACTGGCCCCGTCTAGGAGGCGACATAATTTTTGAAGATGTCAGCATCAAATACGCTCCTCATCTCGAACCGTCACTAAAGAACATCTCTTTAACCATCAAAGGCGGCTCAACTACTGCGCTAATCGGTCGCACTGGCAGTGGAAAATCAACACTAGCTCTCTCTCTCCTCGCAACAACATTACCAAATACAGGTCGCATTCTCATCGATGGTATCGACATTTCTCAAGTAAAAACCCAAGCTTTACGGAAGCGCATTACCTTTCTCGCTCAAGAACCTGTTTTATTTCCAGGCACTATGCGTACGAATCTTGATCCGATGGATGAATTCACCGATTTTGAATGTTCGTCCGTTCTTTCCAAAATCGCTGTACGACATAATTGGACACTCGATACAAATATTGATTCCAAAGGGAAAAATCTGAGTCAGGGTCAAAGACAATTAGTAGGACTCGCGAGAGCGTTGTTGAGGAGAAGCTCGATCATTATTATGGATGAGGCGACAGCTAGTATTGACAAGGAAACGGCTGGAAAGATTCAAGAGCTTATTAGAGAAGAGTTGAAAGAAAGTACGGTGATTACTATTGCGCATCGGGTTGAAGCGGTTAGGGGAGTGGATTGGTGTGTGGTGCTTGAGAAGGGTGGAGTGAAAGAATTTGGTGAGGCGGGTAAAGTTGGTAAGATGAATGAGGAGCAGATTGATCCTCCTACTGCGGATAGGGGTGGAGAAGAATAGATATTGGCGAATCTCAGTTGGAGAGCCCGGGTGGATTGAACATATCAAAATTGCGTTGAAATTTTTGAAATAGTGCATTGGAAACAAAAAGGCGTTGGCTCTCCACTTATGTATGCATTCTATAGCTGAGCTTATAAATGAGACACAACGAAGTGAGTTATCAATTTACTGGAGAGGATATCACGGAACTGCTTTGGAAAATAGAAAGGGGTGCTTTAGACTTGCACTCAGATATATCCAGGGCAATAATTCTAGATATGAGAAAAAGGATAGTGAGTTATAAACCCATTTTATACATAACAATCAGTATGATATACACAACTGTAATCTTGCATATACCTGTTCATCTTCTATCAATGAGATAAATAGACATCTCGGACCGCAAAGTCATCGAGACTTGGCTTAGAGGTGTAGCTGGACTTCGGCGAAAAAACATCACCGCTCCCAAGCAAAATTTGGGTAACGGAACAATTTCGGAAGTAGAAGATTTCTATTCTTCAGCTCGTCACATGATTCAGATAGGCAACACTCCTCATCGGAGATTTTTGAGAATTTGTGCACACTCTTGTACTCTCTCGATTGAGTGAATAGAATTGTGTTCCAAATGTACCTAGGTAGAAATAGAAGGCGGTTTGGAGTTGGGATAATCTTGAATGGGTTGAGACTTTGCATCGGATATGTCACATGACAGTCCGCTTTTGGGAATTCTCTTTTGGACATCTTCCGCATCCGCTGTACTGCAGTCGACGCGAATATCAATTTGCACATCGTGGTTCAGAGTCTTACAGATCAAACAGGTAAGATGGGTGTCTTCTCATAAGCTTGGAATTGATGATTGACAACTAGGAGAAGCTGTATACGGTACCATCATCCAATGAATTGATTTGGATCGCATTACAATATGTTCGAGTTAATCTTTTGCCCTATATTACCAGACAATGGATCCGGAATCTCCCATCCGCTCACTGTCTTCTCTCGATAAGTTTTCTAACTTTCCATGAATTCCAAAGCTGGCAAGATCGTGGAAAATTCCATGTTCATGGTTATGGTACTGTCCTTCACGAAGGTGAGCATGATTCAGTCTGGGAATTTGTCTGGTAACTTACGTGGAGTTTCATCCCCTTTCCTTACACAGATTGATGATTTGTGATTCTTGGGATCTCTCATGCATACCAGGTATCAATCTCCATCCTCGCCATTCCACGTTCATTTCCACCCAGTCTCTAATTGAGCTTCGTCATTCCGAGCTCCAGTCATTCCATCCGTGATTCCAAATGTCCGACGCCCTGTTCCCCCAAAATCGATAAACAAATACTCAGCTCGAGCTTTACGCACTCCCGCTAACCTTAATTCCCACCGATTTTCCCTGGTCTACAGTTGAAGAATGTCTCGCCCCGACTTTCTCCATCGGATTTTCACTTCCATCTTTACCACAAGAAGCACTACTACTCGAGCTCACAGTCGATCCATAAACCGATCCTGCATCATCTCCATGTCGATGTCCTCCAGTATGTAGTGACATTCTGATCGCCTCCTGTTTCTCTGCCGCCGGAGTATATAATTCAATATATATACTTGAACGCGCGGGCATCGTGTTTGAATTTTCGAATTCGACGCAAGTAAGAATAGATGATATATCAAACTGATCTATAATCACGAATCAAAAGTTTGAAACAGTGGTGATAGTTTCTTTATATGTATCTCTGGAAGAAAACATATATCAAAGGGCCGAACCCAATCTCGTAATCCCACACGCAACACTATTTATTCATCATTCTCTGGAAAGAAGTTCCTCTCGTCAGAGATGAAGCTTGCTCCACTTTCCTTACATATTGGATGGAATTTGGCAAAATCAATATCCACATATCCAAGCCGTAAGCCTGCAGCGACATGACCAAGTTATCGTCTCACCGTTGAGGCAAGAAATATTTTCTTCCGTGCGCAATGCATTTTTTGGTGGGAGGGGAAATGTAAGCAGTATGCATGCATACATTTATTCTTTTCGAATTATTGTTGCATGATTGTTAGTGCAATCATATCATGAGATGCGTGCATGAGGATTTTAACATTCCAGAAGTGTGATGTTGTAACTTATTTGAGTTTTTTGACGTTCCCCGACCAATTGGGAATTTGGAGGATGAAATATTAGAGTTTGTCATGGGGAGCGGACTAAACTGACTTAAACCGAAGTGTCGGTGAGAATAAGAATGACCATGAGATCATGTTACGCAAACTCTCGTCTGCGTAACTCCCGTCAGGATATCTATTCGCAACCCATTCTCCGTAGAGCATCACAATGGATATCTTCAACTCACCACCTACCAATCAACAATCAATCATCAAAACCAAACTCCACGTTCCATACCAAGTCACAATCCTCATTGTTTTTCCCAAACCAAAGAAAATCTCATCTCATCTCATCTCATCTCATCCTCCCCACTCTATCTTATATCTTATGTAATACGCAAAGCAAATAGCACAGTATAGTATATGCACACAATCACATCACATCTCACATCTCACATCTCACGTACCTTCCCCTCACATCTTCACCTCCTCGTCTGTTTGTTTGTTCATCACGATCGCCAAATATTCGCTCGCGTTGGTTTGGTTCTACACGCTTAGTTGGATACCATAATGTCAGATCAAAATTACGCGGCTGACATAGTTTGAACTCGGGCAAAGAAGTTCCACCCACTGTATTCTTTAACGGTAATATAATCCAGCGCTCACAATATCACACATACATCATCTTCATATTGTAATCATAATCATATACTCATCATCCCATCCCATGCGGCTCTACTCACTCTACGTATATATCCTTACCTCGGCAAGTAAATAGACAAATTGGGGGCCAAAAAGCTGCGTAAGAAAGTCGGATGTAAGCAAGTAAATACAAATAGTAAGCAGCCAGCCAAGTATTATTCTTCGAAATTTTATTTGGGGGCCGTCTTATTTTCTTGGCGGGGAATGAGGAGATAGATGTAGTGTTGTGGTGTCTTGTATTGTATTTTATTGTATGGTGTTGTATTGTGAAATAAGCCATATACCTAGGTACGGGAGGTTGTAACAGTTATTTTATCATTATATCATTACACACACAAAAGAGAGAACTTAGAATAGCCTCATGAACCTAAATCGCAAAGATTCATATATTTATTTATTTACTTATCTATTTTTATGTTCTCGTATTTATTCACAAAAACGTAAGATTACATGAAAACGAAGCGCAATATATTATATTTTATTTTAAAAGTTCTGTTTCCTCCCTCTTCCACTTCTACTTCCACGTTCCACCTCCACTCTCTGTTGTCCACTATTACCTCGATCTTCACCTTCACCTCCACCTCCACCTCCACTTCCATGTTCCGCTCTCCTCTCCTCTTTCTCATTTCCCCATCCCCATCCCCATCTCCATCCCCACTCATCCCCATCTCAATTCCAACACCATATTCCCTATTCCATACACAATCCAAGATCCGATCTGATTCCCAAATCCAAAATCCAAATCCAAAATCCAAATTTACTTTCTCTTTTTCTCTTTTTTTCCTTTTACATATCATATCATATCCTATCATATCATTTACATGAGTAATCTTAGAAGTGCTTACTGCGCCGCGCTGCGCTACTCACTCACTATTTAGATTCAAATTCGGGTTCGGGTTCGGGTTCGGGTTTGGATGTCGGACGTTGGATGTTGGATGCTGGATGCTGGATGCTGGATGTTGTCCATGTGCATGTGCATAGTTGTGGTTTACTGTGTTGTGTTGTGATGTGTTGTCTTATATTGTATTGTATTGTGATGTGATGTAATGCGATGTAATAGAATGGAATGGATTACTGTGCATCAAAGCATATGTAACCCTATAAATACCTACCTACTCTGTCTGTATTTGAGGAAATATATCTAGATGTGGTAAGATGCAGGTTGGGTGAGATTGGGTGAGATTGAGATTAGGCTAGATGGTGTATGTATGTACATTTGAATGGTATTTTCTTGTATTCATGAAAAAATATTATGCTATCTATACTGCCTGGTATTTCATGTATCCATCCATATCCATATCCATATCCATTATCCCTATACACCTACATGTAGAAATCAAATCAATACTAAAATTGGATTATCCCTGCACGCTCTACCCATATAAAAAAGTTCATACAAACGTCCATGTATATATCCATCACGTACTCCTCAGCCTGGACTCTCTACTTCCCATCCCCGTCCTCTCGACCGAGAATTCAAAAAGGCCTACCCCCACCCCCTCCTTCCCCACCATACGTTCCTCCCACTCCTCCTCGTCCTCTCCCTCCTTCCCTAGATCCCCCGGTAATGCCCTCAATTCACCTTGAACCTTCCAGCTCCCCGTCATGCCTACTTGCTCCCAAACTTCCCCCCACAATCTAACCCACGAATCTGCATCATGGAGCCATCTCCCCTGCTCCCCCGTTCCACCTCCCTGTTTCCCCACCATACACCCGACGAAGAGAGCGCCTTCGGTGTTTTTGAGGAGTTTGACTATATTGGCGCAAACGAGAAGTTGTTGATCCCAGGTGAAGAGATGCATGAAGAGGGAGGCGTGGATGATGGAGAAGGAATGAATGTGGTTTCTGAAAGTGAGAGTGAAGAAATTGGGATCGAGGATATTGGCTGGGAGGAGAGTGAAGGATTGAGGTGGAGATTGGGATTGGGGGGGAGAGGCATCGAGAAAGATTTTGTAAGAGGACTTTAGGAAAGAGGCGTTGTAGTCCGTGCCGTAGAGTTGGGAAGGAGGGATACGGGCATGGTGGGCAAGAGAACGGAGTCTAAATTGTGTTAGCTTAGCTTAGCTTAGCTTTTGTAGTGGACGTATATTTCAATATCGATATGAATTTGAATTTGGGGGCGAAAGTAACGATTGGAGAAGAACGTTTGGAGTAGTAAGTGAGGATGAGAAGAGGAGATAAGGAGAGGTGTGATGGATGAGAAATGAACAACATAATAAATGAACATACTCCTGAGCAACACAACAACCGAGATCAAGAAAAAGAGCCGGTGGATTAGAAGGCTTAGGTGGTGTGGAGAGAATCTCAACAATGCGGGGATAGAGTGGATGGGTCAGTAGACGCAGGGTTAGAAAGGAAAAATTGCCGATGGAAGGGTAGGGGGTTTGATTCCAGAGGAGGTCGCGCTATGTATAGAGATGGGTGTCAGTAATTCAGCCATCATTTTCTACGGGCAAGGTAGGTAGGTAGAGAGGGAGGTAGGTATTTGTTCTAGATTATATCCCTTATTTCTTCATGATTCTTTTCTTTTGAGAAATGTCTCATTCTCTCACTCAAAACAGAATGAATTCAAAGACATAACAGAAAAACAAGAAAGGAATGGGGTAAAATGATAGGAACGTAATCCTAGAAATCTTACATACCATTTTATAAACATGCGCATCTACTTCCTCGGGAGGTATATGACTATAATTCTCCAATAGCTCGCGTGCTTCAGGACCTAGGCGTTTTCCAATGGTCGTATGATACCATGGTTTCGAAGTCGAATATTTGTCGGATATAGGCGTTATTGTTGAGATTGTCTTTGATTTTGACGTGAATAGAGGAAGACATGGAGATTTCGAGGTAGTTGTTGAAGGCGGTGGTGAAGGAGGAGGAGTACCGAAGTCGAAATGTGAGGATTGAGGGGAAAGAGGATCTTTCATCATGATTTCTTTGAGGTTTATGATAGCCATGAGATGGATACACCTGATGATGGGGTATGTGTGGTGAGAGAAATGGTCCAGAGGATATAAATGATATAAAATTGTGTGAAATATTGATGTTAAAAAGAACGTGATTCAATCGATATGCCCAGGTGATTCGGATATTGAAAGAAATGAGCTTGTTCACCCAAATGAATGAATAAACCAATATCTGCAGGTAGGTAGATCGGCGATAGAGATATACAAATAAACAAACACTCCGTTCGTAATAAGTTATTTAGCATTTACCCCAAAGAAGATCCAAGGTTACAAATACATACAGAGTGAATGGGTGAGTGAGTACATACAATACATGCAGTTCATTCATCCATTCAACCATCCATCTCTTGGAAATTCTAGAAAGATTCCCAATACAGCCAGATAGGACAGGGCTGAACGTATATATACCTAGGTGCATATACGGAGAATATATATAGAGGTACCTGTGTACTGGTAATGTATAAATATATGTATCACCCAATCCTTTGGGACGGACGGGATCTTTTTTTTTTTTGTTTTTCAATACTTGCTTGCTACGATCTACCTGGATGATACCTAGGTGAGTGTTAAATGATGGATTGGTAAGAGATTGCTGACTTGAAGTTAAATTTGTGCACATACAATGTTATTTCTTGAACCATGCTTTCCAGGACAAGTCTCTATTACTGGCTGGTGCATTCTTTGTTGTTTCGAATATTCTTGGATTTCATCGCTTTCGGTAAATGGTCAGGGCAGCGAGAGATCTGTTGCCTCTTTGCACGGTGTCTCGAGTGTGCACTGGACTTTTGGGATGGAAATTCTGCGAGGTGAACAGTAATGTTAATGCGAAGAAGTGGAGAACGGCCAATTTATATGAGGG